TGGTTACTGTCTTGTGACCTGATCCTGACTTAATGATTTGCCGCCTTGGCTTGAATTCAGATGTGCCTCATCACCACAGACCTGTATACAACAATCTATACTCTTCGATTGTCTCTGGGTTCCATCATGGGACATGCTCTTTTCACCTTGCTTGGATATTGTGGGGCTGTACACCTCACCCTGAGGCCACTGCCTCTAGCAGCCTGGCTATCATGCTCAGCTCCTGGCGTTGCTTTCCTTGTGGGCCAGCCTGCCATTGCTGCTCCCTAGTAGAAATATCTAACTGCTCAATATTTATAAAGTGTTGCTCAAAACAGTTTATGACCAACTAATTGTCACTTTCAACATACAATATTCCCTTTTGAGCTAACATCAGTTTAAGAAAAAGAAAAAGGTGTTGGCAGTTCTCCTCCACCCCATGCCGCAGTCTGGGAGTTCCCCCTCAGTCGTGTCAACAGCTTTTCTGAGGCCATGCTATGAACCTGACCACTTAAACTGAAAAATGATCCATATAAATAAAGGCCTCACAGGTTTCAGCATATATGACAGAGCAATTTGTAGGGCGAGAAAGAAGGACTAGGGATAGAAATTTTGTAAGCTAGTTTTTCTGCTTAGAAGAATTCTCATGTAACCAACCTTCATTTATTTCACAGTATTTAAGAGTATCTTCACTTCAGAAAATAGGATCTACTTTCAAAATCAGGTTGCCGTGCCAGGTGTACAGAGTTTATGAGTGTGGTATTTTGAAGTTAACGCTATTGGTTTGAAAACAGAAGAAGCAGGGAGATTTCTTTTTCCCACTGCCTGTGGGAAAAGTGTTCCCAACAGTTTCTGTTTGGATTGTTGAACAACTCACATATGTTTCCAATCAACACTGGTTTGTTTCTATTTATAAAAAATGATTTGATAACTAACATTTGCAGGCCATCACTTATCATCAAGAAGCTTCATAATTAAAATAAAATTATTAACTTAAAAATACAGCTTGCTCATGTGAAAAAACTGCCGATCGATATTCAAGACAAGCTATGGAGTAGTTATTCTTTGTGGGTCTCGAAGGTCATGAAAGTGATGGTTTTATGCTACTGAGTGATTTGCTTTTCACAATACATTGACAAAACAACACAATTAGTCTTGCTTCAATAAGCACACACAATAAAATGAATTAAACAATACAACATGTCTCATACATTACAGCTTCACTTTTGTAAACACAAAAGCTGCTTCACTAAGGGCATATCATTTCCCTGTGTGTTTTTAAATGATTGGCTTTGTATCCTTGTAATTAATTTTAGCAACTCTGTTGTCTCTGGACAGAAATTAAATAACTCTGGAATTAAATAACTGACCACACTTTAAGGTAGTATTTAAGTATTCAAAATCCTGGAATTAGAAATGCTTGAGAATATAACAGTGCAGGACAAAGCATAACCAGTAAATGGCTGGTTTATGAGAGTAAGCAGTCATTAAAAATCGTGACTGCTCAACCTTTTCTGACCATGGGGAGCAAAGGTCTTCAAAGGCTCCTGTTCCTAGCATGCCCCTGAATTGCTTGGGTCTGTGACCTTTGAACTCCATTGCTTTACCTACTTAGCTTATATCCTCTTATGATTGTTCATTATTGTTCATTACATTAAGGTAGCTGGCTTTCTACAGATCAGCTGAACTCACACCTATGATGGCCAAGTAGGAGCCGTTTTCATTTTTTTTCAGTGAGTTCTCAGTGAATGTTTATTGTTTGCTATGCTACAGCTGTAGAGGACAAGTGACAGACAAATGAAACTTTCCACTCTGTCAGAGAAAATGAAATATTGATCACTTATCATAAGAAACAAAGAGCCTGGCATAAGTAGGGTTCACATTATGAATACAAAATCACTTACTTATCTCAGGTTACTCTAACAATAGATAAATACATCTTTTATGATGAATGCACCTACTTCTAAATGTGCATACCTTGTTATGGTTATATTTTATCTGTATATGGATGCACACATACACACACAGATGTGAAGAATTTCAAATGAATTTCTCAAGTCAATTCATTAAGCGTATAATGTGTCAACGTATCACTAAACTGCTTCTTGTATCTTCCTACATGGAAGAATAGTTTATACTTACAAATTGTTCTCTGCTCTTTATATGCTATGGTGGTATCATGCAATATTATATAATGCAACAGACAACTGTACAAATAACGTCTTCTTTCAAAAGACTGCAATCAAGCCATATCCATAACCAAAATCTAAGAGAACAGAGCTGCAATGTTGAGAGAGTACAATGCATAAAACTGGTTAAGTCTATTAAATGATAATGTTGTTTATTAACCAAATATGTTGTGATAGGTCAGTGCTGAGGTTAAACAGAAAACATCAATTGAACCATTTCCCTAAATAAAGCTCCAGGGTGCAATATTCAAAGCACTTTATTCAATAAAAAATGCTTTTAAAATGGTACTTTGGTGATTGGGAAACATTGGCATCATCCGTCAACCTAACTGCAGGAAAGTTCAATAAGCTAAATAATGAACCATTTACATTATTTTCCTTAGGCTCCAGTGATTTGCAAACATTGCATCAATAGAACTCTTTAAAAAATTATGATAAAGACCTGCTAGTCTTTCAACTCTTAGGCTTTTTGCTGTCATTCTGCAATTTTTATGCTGTTTAAATGTTTTTTGTAGCTTCATCTTTTTATAAGACTCCATTTTGCATCAATTTCTCATTATATTAAAACATATTTGTTCAATATGATCATTTTACTAGTGTTTCAAGCATTATCTTTGAGAAATGAAATTTAGTGCTGTCTGTTCTAAAAATCTAAGTTTTTCATTTCACTGTCATACAGTTTGAATGTATGAGTTTAGATGATAAAAAAATTATTATTAAAAGGATACCTGTGCTTTCTCTCCCTTGAAGCACTAACAGTTTCTTTGTTGCTGATTTCCTTTTCCACTTCCCTTTCTACCCTGAGTCCCAGATCTGTTGTATTAGCATTTTATCAACTTAACTTTCCTCTTTCCAAGGTCAAATTCCCTACTGTCTTCTCAAGGCACCACCTGCATAATACTCAAGTCTTACAGCTGTTTCCTTTAGCAAATATGGGAGGAGAATTGCTCTTCATGGTAATATTTTCAGGTTCCAAACAACTAAATGAATATACAAAAGCCCACAGACAGAGAAGAGCAAGTGGGAGGAAAAACTCACACAGTCGCTCTCGACTGCACGTCTCTTCACCTGATTTAGTAATACCTTTGGCTGTTAAAGCAGAATATTTACTTAATCCTCAGCCATCACCATATCTTCATAGGTACATACTCACTCATACAGTCTTTCATTATATTTAGTAATACCTCACAGGCTCATTACACTGATCTATTTAGTGAATACAAATATGTGTGCATATGAAAATTTGTACACGTGCATAACACAAGTCAAACATTATACAACTACACTAACAAACTATATTTACAGTGTATCTCTGGCATAAACAATTCATAATGCAGATCAACCCCACTCTATATAACACCACATATACTATTATGAATTACTGATTTTAGCCAAAGAGCAGTGTCTCAAGTCCTGTCTAGAGTTTATTTTTAAAAATGCTCTGATTGCTAGTTTTTAATCACTGAGAACCAGCCACTTCTTGATATTCTACAACCCTTTGACACTATGAACTGTGTTTATAGCATTTGAAATGCATGTAATGCCTGCTACTTCGTTACCACATGAAGATAGCCTTAATTATATTTCTTGCATTCCTAAAAATACTTGTTTATAGACTTGTTACTTTTAGCAATTACAGCTTACAGTTTGAATTACTAAAGTTTTGCTAGTATTACATATAGTGATATATCAGACATGTAAACCAAACGCATACCAAGAATAATAGGCCATGCTGTGGCAAGGTGAGGTTTGTGGAAAAAGTATTATGTTATATTAGATCAACTTGTACAGCTAGAAAAATACACAGGCTTTCAGATACACACTCTCTTCACATCTTACAACCACCTTGTTTTGATTATGACTAAGCTACTGTGGCTACACCACCAACAGTACATCCAAGTTTCAGACACTGCTAGAATTTCTTTAAAATAACGACACCCCTCAACCTGTTCACTTTCAGAGGCAAAGCAACCTCGAAATACTCTATTTCTCTATTTTACTGTATCAAGTACAGACATGTTTTATAAAGTGAATGCGCTATAATTATTTTTTATGATTACTTTGCAGTATCTTGAAACTTGAGCTTTGCCTCTCTCTTCTAATATCTTTTTAGACTGAATTCTAGGCAATCAATTTAGGCCCCAAAACAAGATTATTCAGAACCATAACTCAAATCCTGAAAGCAGTGGGATTTGTTTAAAATTTGGATTTCAATGGAAGTCAAATGCATGGTTTTATTGAAAAGGTGTTTTAAATTTGTGCTACACTAGACGCAATTTTGACTGAACCCTGAAGATTATGAAGCTGCCTAGGGTTTGATGCTCAGAAGCTTCTCTACAGGAGTATTTGAAGTTGTGGTCCCCGTCCATCCCCCCCCCCCCCCCTAAAAACACATACAATCACCA